CCCGTCTCATCCTCCATTTGCGGAGGATGACTGTGGATGTTGCAGGCCGTCTTGAGATCATCGTACCTAGGCAGAGACGACGAGTCTGCCTCGTCCAATCGGGAATTGCTAGATTGTAAGGGACATTGCTGTACAGATTGCGATTGAACCACCGTATACGGTATCTCTCGCCGTTGCTGTTCGCTCATTCCGGTCGTGTCGACTAGCCCAAATTCCAAATGTCTGGAAAAAATCATGCTCTTAATTGTTACGTCGTTACACCTTACTCTCGAAGGCAATAAATGTCATCGTGCACATCTTTAAGAATGACAGAATTTCATCTCGTTTACGTGACGTTTCCGTTTTTAGTAGAAAAGAAGCAATGAAAGTATTTTACAAACGAATATGTATATATATAAATAGATGTATAGATCGAACTTAATTACATGTTCAAAGCAACATCACCTTAATTTTACATTTTAGCCTTAATACTTCGATCGTTCTATCACCTGTTGTCTTAAGATAAAATCTCATATTTATAATACAATATTTAAGAATGGTAGAAACACAGGGACCATGACAAATGTTGGCTTACAAACTTTTCCTTTTATTCAAGAGAAGATTTCAGGAGAGATTCATGGAAGTCGATTGACAGTGGAAGTGTTAAGGGACAAAGTTTCTGTTTCAATGAAACCTTGTCACGTACTGAGCGTGTGCTCTGGTAACACTTAATACCTCTAAACTGATTAATCGATCTTTGTTTACAATAAATACTATATGTGCAGAAACTTTGTACCTATTACATTAAAGAATACTTTGTATATTATAATTATATAAATAAAACCTACTTCCTAAGCTCGTCTGGCAATGGTTGCTTCTGAGAAGGACTCCGGTGTCTACTCCTATGCCTCCTTCTAGGTTCTGTATGGCTCACCTAACATTTCAAATAGAACCATTGAAACGATAGACAGAAACTAGCGTATAATAAATGGAAAATAATTCTGAATAGTGTATACATGCTTTTGATACGTCTCAAGTTACATTATTCGAACTTACAACGGCTCGCTGAACTCCTTCGCCCTTTCGTTTCTGAGCTTCCCTCCATTGTGGCTCGGAGTCGACCAATTCGTGCCTGGAAAAAAAAATTCCCACACGCGTGTGTGTACTTGTACAATAACAAGGGTCACGTCTGGATAGCGTAGTTTAACTGAAGAACAGCCACGCGTGTTACAAGTGCGCGGTGATAAATTAGATCCAGAGAATGGTACACTTTTGTTGGAGTATAATTACGATACCGGCTTCCAGCTTACGCATTCATTTTTCGTTGAATATAACGGCGGAGGGATTTCGTTGCTCCGCGGTTGATACTTCCCGCGTGCGTCATCATTAAAATAATTATCACCTTTACGGATTTTATGTACCCTACCGTAAGAGTATAATGAGCACGAGGGCTCTTCTTTCCCGTCTACACGGTCGATGAACCCGCCCAAGACGTTCGAACGCACTACGTGCTCTTCGTTTTCACATGACCGTCTAAGGAACCTTTATTATCCCAATTAATTACCAATTAAGCCGGCACGCACATCTTAGACGCTCAATTGACTTAATATACGACGGGAAACGTAACGAGGTCGATTATATCGTAAGATTTCATTTGAATCTTCCGCGCTGTTCGTTTGTTTGCCAAGACACCGCGTCGGTTCGAATTCTTCGGATTTAACCCTTTGCACTTGAGACAGTTCCCACTGGAAATGTCCGACATTTTCTGATGGGATGTAGATGGATTGAATTTTCTTCATTCTTTGAAACTAATACATCGGTGAATTAAGAAACGAGGCTATTTCATTGATGCATTATACAAAATTTGTATATATAAGTTTCTTAATTTCATTTTTTAATATAATATTATATGTATATAATACAATGTTGTATATAATATAAGATTATATTGTATTTAAGACTTTATAAATTTACTGTGTCATTCAAGTGGTGTATCAGAGTCACCCTTCGAGTGCAAAGGGTTAAAGGCAGAATAACGATGATTGCATACCTAGAAGAACGAGAGCTTCTGTGCTTCCTGCGGTGTTTACGATGGCCTGACCTCGAGTCCGAACCTCTTGACAGTTCGGACTCGCAGTCTGAATGACGACTGTGTCTTCGGTGACTATGACTATGACTTCTCCTACGATGACCACCGCGACTATGGCTGTCCCCTGAACTTTGGCTCTCCACAGAGCTACTCCTTCGCTGGAGCCTGCTCAAGAGCTGAAATTCATTTGACAATGATTGCTTCAAGAATGTTAGATACATGTCTGTTCAATATAAAACCAATGACTGTGATGTATTTTATTCCTATTTTTATCGATTAATATTGTGCTCTGACGGTTTCTGAATTATGTTTATTCGAGACCCTTAATTATTTTGTAATGTTCACTCAATTTTTCTTAACCCTTTGCAATCGGGAGGTGATTCGGTTTGATACGGTTAAATTATAAAGTTTGATGTTTAATATTGAACTTTATATAATGCGTCACTATGTGAAATCTCATAGTAAAATACTTTCGTCCCTTAATTTATCGATTAAATTAATTACATTAATCGCAAAAAAACATCGTCTATATTTTATCAAAAGTGTTGGATATTTCTAGCAAAAAACTTCCGAGTGCAAAGGGTTAATATCTGGATCTCCTAATACTTATAAATGAGAGTGTATTCATTCAGAATATTCAGAAAACTTCCTTATTTCAACGTTTCTAACGCAAAATTTTGTAATGCAAACATTTGACCCATTCGATAGGAGTAGAGGACAACACATTTCTATTCTGATCACTTTGCAACGTTCGTTATAAGGTTCACAGATCTTTTGCAATTAAAATTCTATTTTCAATTTATATCCTTCCTACTGTACTTCCCTTACTTCGAGTACCAATCTATTATATGCAGACCAAAAAATGCCCGACTGCCCACAAGTCAAGCGAGCACACAGGCAAGACTCACTGACAACACATGTCGATTAATAGCATTCCACTTCAACTCTGAAGTCTACAGAGCACAAAGGATTAAGTCGTAAAGAATAATTTTACTACATACTTATAAAAGATAAATGGCCAGTAACGATAGAATCTACAGTCAACACACATCATTTTGAATGGTTAAACATTCAGGAATGCCATTAGAATGCTAAGTCATTGTTCCATACGTCTAACATCCTGCTGCCAAGAATGAAATCCGTCCGGCCCATTTAACTAAAAATTCTTTTCGCCACTGAATACACCATAAAACTACAGAAACCCTAAACATCGGCTGACACATAATTCCATATAACAATCTTCAAAAAGCGTTACGCTCTGCTGAATTCTAATTACTCCATTGAATGTTAATTTAACGATCAATTACACGCGGAGAACGAACGCAGAAAATTAGCTTGTACCACACGCAGAGAATAAACATGGAATATTGTCTTGCGGAAATTCCGACGCCCAGCGGCCGCATGTTGCCGAGGTGTTCCGAAACTTATGAATTATAAATCTGAAGGACGTACTGCCGGTGCTGTTCCCGCGGAGCGGACAGACCGAGGACTAGACGAAGTATAAAGGCCTCGGGGCTGGCTCTGAGTCCACGGCGCGCTCCTGGTGCTCCTGGGACTCGAATTGTTCACCCGTCTGGCATTCTGCGTATTGCACAAGACATTCCCGCTGGCCGGGTTGCTGGCCGAATTAACGTTGACAGCGGCAGGCGTTTCCACGAACGGGCCAACCATCTCTTGGCCCTCGACCACGCGTCGCTGAGCCCTACGGCTGGGGGTTCTCTGGAAAATCGGAGGCGGATTCCGTCTGATCATCGTGTGCTTCTCCGATCCGGACGGCGGACTGTACGACCGGAAACGGGAGTAAGGGCTCAAAGGTGGCGGGCCAGTGGCCATTAAACGGAAGAACGCTTGGTGCTCCAGACAGCATTTCCACAGGTGTCTGCAGGCACCCTTTGACGGTGTCTCGAAACCGTGCGTCCTCTCTTCGGAATTCTTCTCGCTCACCCTCAGCATGAAGTATCTACCCTGGAACGTGTACGAGTCTGATAGAATTAGGCAGTGTAATGTCAATTATGAATGATTTATTCGGCCTGGGCAACGCGATAAACGGCGACGTATGATTTTTAGCCGAGGAAGTTCTGCGTGGCGAGCGACGCAATTTGTTTCTTACTTTATTTTACTCTGGTTTTCGTATTTTGTTTTGTCTACTACTTGTTTTTAGTTTTTTATATACCTGTTGTTCTATTCTGTTTTACTATTTTGTTTTGTCTATTACTTGTTTTTAGTGTTTTCGTACACATGCTGTTTTATTCTGTTTTAATATTTTATTTTGTCTGCTGATTGTTTTTACTATTTTCGTACACCTAATTTATTCTATTTTACTATTTTATTTTATCTACTACTTGCTTTTACACGTTTCATACATCTGCTGATTTATTCTATTTTATTCTGTTATACTTTATCTTATTTTAATTACACGTAACAACATTTTATCTATTTACCTCTGTTATTATTTCTGTGTTATTTATTATTTTACACTGTTATATTTTATGTTGTGAATGCTT